CAACCTAGAAATCTATGAGTCTATGAATCTACTTGGAAACCACACACTCAGGAGACTAAGCACAGATCATGCTCACTTGAGCTAAAGTGAAGATGGCTGCATTAGTAACATCGCTTGTAAAACATCTGGACTGTGACATAACAAATTTACCATAAACAGAAGCATCTCAGAAGTTCACGGATTGACTTGGAAAGCAAAGTAGATAACAACAACAAGGTAACACCACCACCATCGTTTACAATACCACTGCCTTGAGCAGCACATCAGCAAGGAACAGCTGGGAGAAACAACGGATTCTTGACTGCTCAGCCTTCCTGGCTTTCAGGAAGGCTCCCCACAAGTCTCAGTAAATAGATTAAACAGCACACCATGATCTTGCAACACTTACATTTAAGATTTCTGCATCGTTGCTTTCCAAGCCCTGCACCAAAAGCACCGCGAAGCTGTCTGTTTGCGGAAGGCCACTTGGAGTTTTAACTTTGCTCACATCGATATCCAATGCCTCTAGGCGCTGCTCAATGCTTTCCTGCAGATGGTAGACAAGGGCAGTGCTGTTTCAGCGCAGTTTCTCAGAAACATCAGCTCAAAGTGCCTAACCTACAGCATCCCCTCCGATTCTGCACGAATGTAGCACAAATTTCGCATGTTCTTTTATACGTACTGACAGAGAATGGCCCAAGAAAAGAAGAAGTTTCGATTGAAAAGCAGTAATACACCTTAGCACAGAGAGACAGACACAAGCGTGCGACACAGTTTCTGCAGGAACACGGCAAAAGCATGGCACGGCACACAGGGTTTGAATGAGGGAAAGGTTTTGAGCAGAGGGAATTCTCTTTCATACAAAAAGACGGTATCGTTTACTTTGCTTCCACATCAAACGAAGCAAGTTCAAGTTCACCTAAAGAAGCTGTAACAACGATTTATGATTCTAGTTTCTCCGTTATTGCTTCGTTAAAAGAGGAAGCACTTTACCTCTGTCTCTCCTGGTTTCCTTTTGTTTTTCTTTTTCTCCTTTCCCGAGGATGGAGTTTTGACAGCTGCACTATGTCCTGGAACGCCAGGCACTAGAACTTTGGTGTCCGAGTTCACAACAGGTGTCTTTACCTAGCAGACAGAGAGAACCACGTTTGCAGGAACTGCTCACAGCTTCAGTTTTCTTCCAATTTAAAATACTGATTTTATTCTGAGACTCACATACTTGGTAAAACCAGCCTGCCACAACTTATTTTCTTGACATACATATACTAGGAAAATCCTACATTTTTAAGAGCAATTAATAACGTCAAGCAACAGTCAGCTACTTTTCATAGTTACCTAAAGCAATGGTCTCTTCGGAATCACCTGTGAGTCACTTTTCTTACATGCTTGTTCCAAAACACTCAAACTAAGTGTTCGTATCCAACAACGATTTGGTGTTCACAATAGATAAAATGTGTACTAATAGTCAGGCTCATAAACCACATGCAGATTAATTCAGCTTCCACTGGAAGGTAAGACCCGATCACGAACAGCAGCACAACGTAACAGTGAAAGGTGGTTATTTTTCACTTCAGTCCCACCAATTTCCTTCTAGGGATTGCTCAGACACAGAGCTCAGTAGTCTGAATTAGACCATAATCACAATGACAAACAGAGCAACCTTAGGTTACACCAAACGAGCTATGGTATCCATCTTCAACAAACACAAAGGAGATCAAATTTTAAAGGCAATATATTTAATAATCAAGTGCTCCCCTGACCCACAGAGGATGTAAGGGAGTATGCCACTTCCAGAATATCAAAAATGACACCTGCTACTTCCAGAACATTTCTTTAAGCACAATGCTTCTGTGCAGGCGTTTTTTTGAAGTACTTGCCGCCCAGCTGTGTGCCCACTAAAGTGACACAAATATCACCTACCACAGTGAGCAAAGCAACTTCCATATGTTGTGTGCAAAAGTAAAACAAATTGATTTCGTGGCTCAAGAATTTTACTGCAGAACAGCAATGGTGTTATAATACTCGCCCTTTCGCTCACCACACTAATCACTGACCTTCTCCCCACAAGGCATGCTCAGACAGCCAAGAGAAATGCGTCTTCACTAGAATTCGGCAAAAAGCGAAACCAAGACGAGTATCATCACCGCATGCCAAGGAGTTCCTACACCTCTCACTGCATTTCAGCTCTGCTACCCACCAGCTCCAGGACCAAGGAATCGGCACAAAACCTCTCCTGGCTGATGGAGCACCAGATCCCATAGGCAACTTGAGGTGAGGGTTAGAAAAACAGTGCTGTCTGCTCACTTCACTGACACTGCAAGCGTTTCACATTTTCAAGGCCTTGAATATGCACACTGATTAAGAACTTCACAGACTGTCTCTAAACCCCCAGAGGATCCTGCATGAGAGAAAACAGTGGCAAGTGGCCTCAGCAGACACTGTTGCCACCTAAGTGTCAAGCTCACATTCCCAGGTGCCATATCCCTGTGAATAGGAACATGTGAAGGCCACCTAGAGAAACAGCCAGAAGGTCATGCCCTTTATGGCTCCATCACATTTTATTTAGACTCTAAACCAAAGCCATCCCAACTTCACCCCAAACCAGAAGGGTCAAAGAGGCTGTACAAACTGTCAGACTCCAGGGGAAGAACTGATCTCAAGCAGAAAAAAAAACATCAGCCAGTCCTATCTATCAAGCAGCCCTGCTGACAACAGGACTTGCTGTGAGCTACAGGAGGGTAACTGTGTGCAGGAGCATACTGGGACACAGAGCAGCCACGAAGCACTTTACCCACATGTGCCTGAGTGCTACGGACGTCTGTAGCTACCACCGCAGCTCTAAGCAGGCCCATCCAGAAATCCAACCCCATTTTAAAAGAAAACAGTGAATTCTACCATTTCTAAAGTAAAACAAGAGAAGGGACAAAATCGCATTTCATGCAAAGCTCACCTTTGTTAGAGCAACATCTGTTTTCAGTGACAACACTTTCTGGACATCCCTTATCAAACATATGTGGGATTCACTGGTGTTCAAAGACTAAAAGGACAAGAACAAAACCAGTTAATATATTTGAGATTCACCTCTCTGCTTCATTAAGCTACTCAAATATGAGAACAAATTCCAGAGGTATAAAGTAGAATTAACTTTTTTTTTTTTTCACTCTAGAACAGCAGCTGCTTTGCACATCTGCTTTTTGTTACCAGATCTCTATGCTACCCAAAGAAGCTCGCATAGGTAAACTGAAATAGTATTAAAACCAATTTCAATGGCCTAACTCAGTAACAGCAGAAATGGCAAGAAACAGCCAGCAATAACGTCAAGCTGTATTTTAACTGAAAGAACAGAGGAATACAAATTGCCTTTCAAAACAGCTGAGGGGCAACAGTTATAGCTCCCAGAAAAGCTATAAGAAAGAATAAGCTTTGTCTTGTTATACAATTTCAAAAAATTAAAACCAAAAAATCTCTCTCCAACCAAGAGCTGTATGCAGTCTGTATTACAAAATCCAAAACCTCTCCAGTAAGTTTTACATACCACTTTCTCTATGATGGGCTGTAAGGTGTTTCCATACACAAGCAGCAGAGACTGTTTGTCTGTGCAAAATGCAGCTGCTAGAATAGGGACTGGTCTTGGTGTGGAGTCCCCATCATCTCCAGGTGTTGCTATCTGAATAGTACAGTTTGATGTTAAGGGTTTTTTGCAATAACTGGAGAGAAAAAAAAAAAAAGGGAATTAAAAAATTCCAAGAAGTTTAGCTTAAACACTTCAGTATCTTGCACATATAAGCACCTTTCATTAGCAGGTCCCCAGCAAATTCAGTCAGTTTACATCTTTTCCAGATGCCTAAGATGAGGTACAGATACAAAAAAAAAATCTTGGCTAAAGCAACGTTTAATACAAAAGTGCAGCACAGACTCCAGCAAGCAAGTTCTCCAAAAATGTGTTCAGTAACCCAAGAGAAAAGAACCAGCTGGAATCTGGTTTGCGAACAGATATGAGAGCTTAAAGGCAGCAGCACACCCTACAGTAGTCCCAGACCTTTCCCAAAGATGCCTTCAAGATGAATACTAACTTACCCATTTAAGATATGTTCAAATAAATGCAACTGCCCATCTCTGCACACAACTGCTAACTTCACAGGCTGAAAGAAGGCATAGTAAAAGATTTTAATTAGATCAAAGGACAAACCTCCCAAAAGCACAGGACATCAGCAGACAGCTGCATAGCTGCAATTTGACTTTTTTCTGTAACTAAACACATTAAAGATACAATTATATCCATAAGGAAGATCAAAGACACTAACATCTCAGGAACATTTAGTACAACTATTAGGAGACATGAAGACAAAACTCCTAACTGTCATTTAGTGTATCACTACTGATATATCCAAACTTGAACAGTTTGGACAGTAGCAGATATATGTCATCATAAGCAGCAAAGTTCCAAAAATGCGGTACCCAACATCTCTAGAGGCACAGGTCTACAAAGGCGCTGATATTGAAAATATACTTAGAGCAAAGAAACTGAGACGAGTACTCTGGGAAATTAAATGAGAGGTGCACATTACAGAATACTCTTATCTCTAATGCATGCAGTAAGAGGGCACAACTGGAAACATCAGAAAATACAGCATGAAACATTGTTTTTAGAAAAGGAATCTAAAGGCAGCAGGAGAAAAATACTTTAAATAATTACTGAAACAGTTTATGAACATGTTTCACACACGTATACATATATCTCTTTCATAAGACAACTACTTTTGAAAGATTTGTACTTGCTGAAATTGAAACTTGGGGAATGAACACTGCTCCTTTAACTCATTAAAGGCTAGTTAATTCAAAATGCAGTTACGCTGTCAAAGCCACTTGAGATCAGAAAAAACAGGACCATACCCAAACTGGAGTTTGAGAAATCATTTTTTTGTGTTTTTTCCTGCCCAGTTCTAACACTCATTTTGATTACTAACTTTTTCTAAATAGGAAACGACTGACATTTCCACCATCACAAACAAAATTCCTGAAGAGAACACTGAATTTGCACTTAGTAGCTTTGAAAATTACTATTTCGAACTATCAGCTTTATAAATGCACCTGTAATAAATATCCTTACACCCGCGAATGGGCATTCTATTAGATTCCATGATTCAGATCTCATCTCTGCACAACAGAAGCCAAATACAAATCAAGCTTCTGTCTTTACACCCTTAAAAGGAAACTGATGTGACAACTGAAAACTGTTGAGCATATTTGATTAGAATCTATTGCACCTACCTCTTCTTTGACTTCTGATACAGTCAGGTCAATGAAAGTTGGTTCATCTGTTACTGTGAAAGACATGACAGCATTCTTTTCTTTCCGATCTGATCTGATCTGCCTGGAAGACACAAACAGCGCACACTATTAACCACAGCACAAATAGCACTCTCTGCACCTGAAAAGCCTTATAAAGCCTATAAACCACCAGTGACTGCGGTAGTATCTACCCCACCCAAAAATACTCATGCTGTAATTTTAGCTTTCAGCTTAGAAAGCGTTCTAAATTCCAAGTGCAAAGTAACTCCCAAGTGAAATTTATCAAGAAAACTTAGCATAAACCTTACAGTAAGTACAAAGAACTAGGAAGCCTATTACACAGTATGTTCTTGGCATACATTAGTGATTTAAATGGCAACTGGAAGCATGCTCAGACACAGCCAAGGAAATTCCCGTCTTCATTCAACAATCAGTGAGTTGAAACCACCATTTAAGAGATCATCACTGCATTTCTCCAGAGCGCCTCTTCTGCTTAACCTTGTTTAATCACAGAGTTCAGAACATACTTGCTGAGTCTATCCTCAATACTGATCATAATCAAAGCTACAAATTGTGAAAAGCTTACATACCATACACTCAGTAATCGGTCATGTATAGCTCCAGACAAGAAATAAAGTCCTGTAATTCCATCAAAGGGCTTATTTTCATTTATAGGTTTCACTGTGGTAAACATTAACGATGACACTGATGTGGCATGGCCTGTGAAATGCTAAAAGAAAAAAAAATCTTTCAACAATTGCCATAATCAGTCACATGGCAAAAAATAAAATATTAGTTAACAAAGAAAGTCAGGAAAGATTCAAGCGGTACTGAGTCAACAAGGACATTCCAGTGATACCTTTTTTTATTTATTTTTTTTTCCTAGTGATCGGCTTCCTTGCATTTCTACATTTCAAGGAAACTTTTTCTGATCCTCCAGATACTTACGAGAATTTTAAAAGTTAAACGAGGAATGAAAGGCAAATTCACTAGGACTAAGTCCATGCAAAAGAAATCACATTCACCTGTACTGCTGCTCCTGTCAGAAAGCGCTTGCTTTCCCCCTGCCCTCCACAATTTTACACTTCAACTTTTACAATGAAACTACATTCATAGTTTCATTCTCAACTGTAAGACAAACACACGTCTGTCGACATGCTAAGGCTGTTTGACCCCACCTCCCCCCCAAAAATAATCAGTTCTTCAATCTGCTTTCATAAATAGTGGTTTTGGTCATCGCAGGATGCAGACATACACCGTAGCTGTCATGTGCCAGCAAGTCCACGTTAACAGCACATCCGTATACACTCACCTGACAGCAAGCACCAGGAGATCAGAGACTAGCTGCACCCTATCAGCCAGCAGGCAAGAGAACATGACTGCATTCACAGAAGAGATAAAACATGGTAATTCTGTCATGTCTGAGCCCCGCTCAGGGGCTCCTATGCCTTCCAACTGTTTCAAAAGCAAAACTGGTAATGCCACCAGTTACATAAAGCTTGGCAGAGAAACCCAAAGGCTTTAAGGAGGGACTCATGATAAAAGGGAACTCATGCACAAACTCAGGCCAGCAGTAACTAATACTGTGATGAACTGAGTTCTCTTGCTAGAAGGGTAACAGGACGGGACCCAGTGAAAAAGAACAGCATCCATCTTTCTGCCACAGGCTTGAGAAAGGCAGCTGGCAGCATGCTCAGACACAGCCAAGGAATTTAATGTCCTCATTCAACTCTCAGCAAGTTGAAACCACAGTTGAGGGTATCATCACAGCAACAGCTTCCAGCAACCTCAAAACTGCCAAATGTCTCCTCATACCCAATGAAAGTTTCTGATGTGCTATGAGGAAACACTAGATACATCAGGTCACCAATCAAGAAGGATGTTTTTTTGCATCTAGTTTAACAAAGTTACTTACTCTGTAGACTTCTTTGGTCTCCAGGTCCCACAGTTTTATAGTTCTACCGGCTGACAGCAGCATTTTCCCATCTGGACTAATGCATAGAGAGGTGACACTGCTATTGTCGCCTTTCCACTTGCTATAATTTGGAGGGAGGGTTTTTGTAGAAAGGGAGAAATGGAAAAAGCAATATTAATTAGCATAATCTCAAAATGCACATCAATCACACTGGAAAATTTAAGGCAAAAATTATTTAAAAAAAAAAAGTAGTTCAAAGATGAGGTCAAAGTTATTCTGTTTCTGCTCCTCTCCTTCAAATTAGTTTACACAAAAATACAGCAACTCAAAAATGTAAAGCTATTTAATATCGAACAACTGTTGGCATTTTTTTAATATTTGCCTATTCTGTTGCGAATTCCTCTCTCAAATTTCTCTACTACTCAAATAAAGTAAGAGAAGCCATACCATTTCAAGACTTCTCTTTGCACCATAACCCAAGAAGCTTATACCGACCCCTTTAGAAAAGCCTTTTCAACACTAAAATTCAGAGTTTCAAGGCTCCTTCTGTTCCTGGCCCTCCTCCCAAGTCTGTCAATGACACTGACAACAGTAAACCTGACCTGAAAGGCCTATAGTTCAAAGCACTTTAAAAAAAAAAAGAAAAAAAAAAAAAAAAAAAAAAAAAAGATGCATGCTGTCATTAAAAGCTTGCATCTGCTTTGAAGGAGCCTGAGTAGTACACATCTCTAACAGGATAAAATTGCAAGGAAAGCATTAACACAAACCCTTTACAGATAGGAAGTATTCTGCAACCCATCACATTCCGACTGTGAACAGCTGCTCTGGAAATACTTCCAAATAACTTTCACATGCCCAAGCAGCACCTCTCCTGTCTTCCAAAAAAGAGCTCACTTTTTGTATTGCTTTTGATTAGATTTCATAGAAGCTGAAAGTTTTAAGGCCTACAAACTTGACAAACAACATTACATTGTATTCTCTTCTAAAGAGGAGGTCAGGACTAAGAATTTCAAACCATTTAATAATGTGAACCCAAGAAGGTATTTTTAAATGTACTAAAAAGACTATATTTATATTTTTAAACAAGAAGCTGCATAAGGAGATGTACTGAATGCCTTTGAGAATTCAGAGTATTTAAGACATGAAAAAGCTACAGCCAGAGAAAGAAGTAATCCAGAGTGTTTTAGACTACTTCTCTCCAACACCTTGTCTTGCCTCTTCAGAAACTCTTCCCCAAAAGCTTGTCCCTCTGTCAGATGTTTCAATGGGCACTGCACAGACCTCCTGAAGTGGTTCTACAGACTACTTATACAGTAATTAAGAAAGTGAAGCCTAAAGCCAGGCGGTTTCTATTCCCTATCTAGCAGTTGACACTTCTACAGGAAAATGTCTAGAAGCCTGAAAACGAAAAGGAAGTTGAACACTTCTCTACTCCAAGAGCAATGATCCTGAATTCTCCATGGGACATGTAAGGATTCATTTCCAGGTCCTGACCTGACAAGTGTTAAAGAATGCAGGCAATCTCACAAGTGCATTGGGCATAAGCAATTATTTTTGATAATTTATTCCTTCTAGTCTCATCAACTTAGGTAGAATTTTAGAGAATTGTTTTCTTCTACTCTTACCAATGTCACTTACCTTAGGTATGACTCAAAATATCACCAGGGAAAAAATTCAGGTAAAAAGTATGATATTATATTGCTGGTGTACTTTTAATGTATACAATCCAAGAATGATTTTTTTGTTGTCATCTTCAAAATTAAAGAATACAATCCTTCTAATTACCTTTTATAACCACAGTCCCCCAAAAAGCAGCAGTATGGGTCAGGGGCTAAGGGAAACACCCAAGATGAAGCATGACAGGAAAAATTCTCACATTTCCCGAGAAAACAGTATGACTGGGACCCATCTCAAGTATCTGTGCATGAACACACATGCTATGGCACACAGAGTGAATTAGATATCCACAGGCAGCTTCAGATTTGATTGCACCAGAATCACAGAGAAACAGTGGAATAGCTTGCAAGACAGGATGCTGCAATAAACAGACCTTTAGGAAGGAACTTCAGCAAGGACATGCCAGGAATGCAAAAAGGAGAGAGGTTTCTCCACACAAAAGGGTAGCAGGGCTGCTACTTGGGGGCAGAAAAAAGCTCAAGAAACAGGCTGTCAGAATCTCAAAGCTCAAAGAAAAATAGAAAGTCCTGCACGTGGGATGGAAAAATACCAGTACAGGCTGGGGACAAAGGGCTAGAAAGTAGCTCTGCAGAAAAGAAGCCTGCAGTCCTCATAGTCAACTGGAACACAAAGAAGCAGGGAGTCCTTGTATCAATAATGTCAACGGCACACTGATGCGCATTAGGTGGACTGTAGTCAGCAGGTCAAGGCAAGCGATTCATCTCCTCTGGGCACAACTTCTGAAACTGCATCGATGTCAACGGCACACTGATGCACATTAGGTGGAATGTGGTCAGCAGGTCAAGGCAAGCGATTCGTCTCCTCTGGGCACAACTTCTGAAACTGCATCTGAGCACTATGGCCAGTTTGGGACAGCACAAGAAAGTCAGTGACATGGCAGAATAAATCCAGTGGAGGGCCACAACGGCAACTTACAAACTAGAGCACGTAACATAAGAGGAACAGCTGAGGGAAGTGGGTGCCTTCAATCCTAAAAAGAGAAGACTGGAGGGAGATTTTACCGCCATCTTCTGCTACTTTCAGTCAGGGTCACAATAGCATAAGAGAAGGGTCAAGATGCCATCATACATAAGGCTTTTATTGCAGTAGGATAACCAGGATCATTCATAGAAATCTGTCAGGGTCTCAACTTCATATAACCAAAGGATGCACTTCTTGTCTAGGGAAATCAAAGAGGCTATTGATGATGGGCTATCTGCAGCGCCCACACCATCTTTAACAAAACAGACAGAGCTGCAGTAAGAACAACAGGCCAATCGGAAACATTACGGAAAAGAAACAACAGCGTAAGAGAAGGGTCAAGGTGCCATCACCTCTAGGCTTTTGTTGAAGTAGGATAACCAGGATCATTCATAGAAATCTTGGCGGCTTCTTCTTTAAAGTTTTAAACCAGTCTGACTTTATTACAAAAGAAAGTAAACGCCTACACCAGGCATCTTGTTACTCTACACTAAGCTCTGTTCTGCTCAACAGCACTTTAAAAGTACTAGCCTGCTCAGACAGCCAAGTGGAACTGTCCCCACTGCACATCAGTAGTGAGCGAAACCAAGGGGGTTGTCATCACAGCAAGGCCCTTGGAGCAAAGCTGGGGGCGTGTAACTCATTTAATTGGGATAATATGTTCCACTATCTGCTCCTCTATATTTCCAAGGGTATTTCCTAGAATTCACATTTTTCATTGTCAGAAAAGTGACTGGAAGGCCATGTCCCACGAAAAGTAAACATGGAGGGACCCAAATCCCTCCCAGTGCAGTTACTCATTTCATGTAGTCTGTCTGATACACAGAGGAAGAAAACCAACCATGAGAACTACTCTTTCATGCCGTAATAAAACCACTTCCAATCACAGAAAGTAACAGCCAACAGTCAAGTTTGTACTGTGGGCATGAAGCCTGGATAGCAGAGTGCAGCAGTTCCAAGAGGGCCTTACTAAAACCTGTGAGGGAGAAAATAGACAGAAGGAAGCCAGAAGAAATTTGACTGAAAACCAGCATCACTTACCACTTTATTTTGCAGGTCTGTGCGTTCCATTCCACGATGTGTTTCTCTTCTGAACAGCTATACAAGCAGCAGTTGTCCTGATGTCATCTCACACAGTTTACTCTATTGTCATGACCACCATCCTACAGAAGGTAAAAGAGGGTCAGCTCATTAATAAATGAACAAGTCTGGACTACTGAGTCTTCCTCACACCAACGTGAACACACTGCTCTTTCGAGAACTGAATTCAAATCACTGTAACTTGAAGACTAGTCTTTCTGATACTGTGATGGGTTGATGTAAAGGGGTTCTGGTGGCATGAGAGGGGATTGGCTCCCTGTGACTTCCCTGGTGTTAAAGCAAGCTATCATCAGATGATAAGACCCTACAAAGGGGTATCATTCACAACCGAAATCTTTGCAGCTCAAATATACCCTTTAATCGTTTATGAAAATATTTCCTTGAGTTTATAAAATTTCACTACTTGAATTGGCACCAGCCAGCTCAGACTACTCCTAAAAGTGTCATTGCAGATCGGCTTTCAGGAAGACAAGGAGGGATTTCACTTCATCTCTCAACCAGAAACGGGCGAATGCAGCACATCACCAGGAAGGTGAGAAGGAATAAAACTGGCTCGTGAGCATGTGAAACTAAAATAAAGAAGGCAGAAGAAGCTACTACATTTATTCTCACTGGGTTAATCCCACATAACCAACCACACACACACACACGAAAAAAGAAAAGAAAAAAGCATTCAAGGACTTCAGGAGAAAAAAAGTCACCCCTAATGCTATTGATTAGTTTTCAAATCAGACTTTAGTAAGTCTCCTTACGTTTGTTACATCACAGCAAGGGATTCTCTCCAATTAAAAAAATTACACACAAGCTAATGCTTCCTCTACACAACAGATATATTTGCACCGACGAGCAGCCAGAAGCCAAAGGACACCGATGGGCACCACCAACTCTGTGCAAGCTCCATGTGGTGTAGCTCCTCTGCCATATAGATGTATAGACATCACGCAGGGAATGTAAATAACTTTCACTCAGGTCCCGAGATATAAGGACAAGCAGGATTCGGGAGTTTTCACCACAACTAAGATTTCCACGTTTAACACTGCAGGATAAATACTTTGGTTCTTTGAAGCAGGACTTTCTTTTCCTCTGCATTTAACACAGACAACACCTTCTGCAAGGAAAAGCGCTTTGGTTTAGGCCAATAAATATGCTTTTACATCAAAAGAGATTACATTGGGGTTTTTGCAAGTATTTGTTTAGGCTGCTTCTTTGCTGGGACAGAAAAGTGTTCATAAAACATCAGGAAAACTCAGGTGCTGAGAAACCCTCACTTTCACCAAGCACAACCAAGTAAACCAACCAGCTTTTCAGACAATGTAGGAGAAAAGACTCAACTAGTTCAATTTTTGGCAGCAATGCCAACTAAACCATCTTGAAGCTGCTGTTTGACATGCAAAGACAGTCAGTGAAGATGCAAGTGCAGTCCACGTTTTCTGTGACTTTTCAATCTCTTGATGTAGATTTACCAATTACCCCACACACTACCAAGACTGCAAAGAAAAGCCACAATTAAGAACAGATCTTATTCTCTTCCCTTGCATAAATCTTTTAACTATAACTTGTTCACCCTCCATTTCAGTCTGTTAAGGCCAATTTCCCTTGGAACAACCCAAAGGTACAACAAAATTACCACAAAAGTCCACAGTTATTTCCAGCATCACGAAGAAAGCTAGAGGCAGTGAAGGCTTTTCCAGTTATTTTACACATGTATTTCTTTACTGTCAACCCTTTGTCAGCATCAGTGGGGCATTTTGTCAGAAACTTCTGCATGAAAGAATTGCCAGTGGAAAATTCAGACACCTGTTAACGTTAGAGATGACTGAAGAAAACACTCCGAGAACTAAAAAAAAAAGTTTTAAAAAAACAAAGCAAAACAAAAAAACAAACCACAAACTTCTCTACGCTGCATTAGATTAGTACATACATAGACCAAGTGCAGAAGAGATCCATGCGGGATTCACTTGTGGATCGGGGTCTTCAACATAAAAGCATCCTGTTTTCATGGATAGGACAGGACAAGATGGGGGAGCTGAACTACACCAAGCATCAGGTTCCTTTTTATTTTTTTTCCAGATTCATGGAAACTCAAGCTTATTTATAAATCCTTCAACTTTGCCTGGAAAAGCACAGTGGTTTAATTACTAGAGATAAGTAAAAGAAGTTATTTGAAAAGGGACTATGCACATATTTCTCCATAATGTTCTTACTTCAGTAGGTCAGCCACTGAGACTTTTTAAAAAAGAAAAAAAACAAATACAAAACAAAAACAAACCACATCTCTGCAGCTCACATGTCAAGTAAAGCACTTAAAACACTGAAGCAGGGGGAATCCTAAAGTTGTTCTGAGAGCAGATGATGACAGAACAAATGCAACTTATTAGGAAGAAAGTGGAAGAAAGTATTTTGAAAGTCAGTGGTCCACATACCCTTGCACCAGGCACCACTTCATGGAGCAGGTGCTCGCCAACACCACAAGCAGGAAGCACTGACACTTGGAAAGCAGCTGGGCAGGGAACATCCCAATAAGCCACCACTGCATCAGCAATTCCAGGGCCTGCAGTTCAACATTTAACTTCTAATATTCCCCTCCCACACATGGCCTTCATTAAAATGGCAGCAGTTCACAACACACTTACTTCAGGTGTAACTTGACCAAACATCATTTACAGATATCTACTAGCACAGTTTTACTCCTCAACACCAGACACTTGTACTACCTAGAAAGATGTCAACTTGCCAGGAAGAAAAAAAGACTAAATAATGTCAGAAAAAACATACTCAATAAAATATATTTGGCAGAACCATCACAGCTGTAGTTCTTCAGTTCAGTCTAAGGACAAACTAATGAATTTTACAAAAGTTTACAGCATAATTTTTCCAAGAAACAGTATGTTTTCCAGCTCCTCTTGAAAATGAACCAACTTTCAAGCAGTGGACAGCATTCAAACTACTGGAATAATAAGAAAGCACTGACAGGTAGCCAAGTTCTGTCTGATTTAGTCCATTTTCTACACAACCCTGAACTAGGTTAAACTGGAGCACCTACAGCCTTCAGGGACAGGTCTCTAAAAAAGGGGTAGTTTTCAAAAGCTACTTAAACTCCTGTGCTTGACTTACGGCACCACGGCAGTGCACCATGTTAGATCAAGTTTTATTTCACACTGGACACATTAACCCCATTTTCACATGGCAGCTTCAGTTTATTTAAGAGTGAAGAACCACCTACACAGCCCTAAATGGATGCACAGATGCCAACCTGCTCTGTAGCATCACCTTTCTGATTTAGGTGAGGTGTGCCATGAAATAACATACCTCGATCCTTCACGGAAGGTTTCTTCCACGCAGGTCATACGAAAGTTCCCCTGTGAAGAGCAATCCTGCCATGCTCCTCTGA